GCGGGCATTTGAGATTTCTTCAAACCTTCAAGGCTGCAGGAAAGACAAAAGGACATGTGACCAAAAGTGTTATGATTATCCATTAGAGATTTCCATCAGTACCGGCATCAGTTATTTAGGTGATAATACAGCAAGGTCAAGTATTAGTGACAGACAATGTGCAAGTCATAAGGAATGATAGAGAATACCAATCCTTACAAAAGTCATTGCTATCAAAGAAACTTAAAAGTGTTTCAGAGAGATACCTAAATACTTCACATCAAATATACAGTGGCCATCCAGATTATATCTCACATTTGTTGCAAAATTTTGTTGAAGTGTCAAATCAAAGCTTTGGTTTTGGGTTTTTTTTTTCCTTTTCTCCTAAAAAAAAAAATAGTTACACAGTTACATTAGCAGTTATGCAAGCGTTCTTAAATCCTTAGCCACAGGATTCAGGGCCCTGGTGAGGAGGAGGCTGCAGCTAAGGGTGCTTCTTTGTCAAAAACTGGCTCTAAGCCCATCTGTCTATTGAGGGCAGTCGCATCACTACACATCTTTAACTGTTCAGTGCTTCAATTTAATAAGAAAAAGCTGAAATGCAGTTGCTCTACCAAGCCACACTTCACCTTTTCCATCCTTTCATGGGCACATTAAGTTTTGTCAACTGCCACCACAGTAAATATTTATGAATTTGCAGATTTTATCCCAATTTGTTAAATCGCTTTTAAATGTCAGAAGTGAGTCTTTACTTTTTTCCTGCCACTTCAGTTAACCATGGAGATTGGATCACCCTGTAAATTGCCTTTTTTTTTGCTTTACTCTTAGCAAGGGTGAGGAATCTGAATCTCATGTGCAAGGCTCAAGATGATGCTTAGGACAGAACATGCAGAGTAAACGTTGTTTCGTTCCTTTCGATATCCAGGTAATATAAAGCTGGCAACTGTAGTCCTGTCATTATGGGTAATGAAAATAGTCCCTTTACAACAAACTTCCTGTAAGGGAGAACAAATAGATAGTAACTCTTCTGGTAACATGTATTGTACACTGGCCAGCGTGTTTTTGGCGTTGAATGTGATCCTGTGAACGTGTTTAATTCACTTGCTGAGCGTTCATCTGAGGCATCCCTCTGTTTGGTCTTGGGGGTCCTCCACGACCTGGGAAACACAAAAAGGGGGTTGAACTATGAAATCTGAGCATTTAAAAATATTCCTAAATGTTCTGATGTAAACTGTGTAAGAATTTCTTCATTACAATTGGGCTTCCTAAAATATATGGCAATAGTAATCAAAAAAAAATTTAAAGTTCAACTACAGCCTCATTATGTCTGTGGGTTTTTCTGTTTTGTTTCCTAAGGCTTTCATTAATAAAAGGCAAGTAACTAGTTCTGCTACATTTAAAGTGTCAACAGCAATTGCTGTTTTAGCCTCTTTTCCAGGAATTCCTCATTCAACAGCCAACACAACTTCCACCACAAGTTCAAAGGATCCCAGTACAATTCAAGTCAGCAGGGTCCTCAAGAGGTTCTCCAAGACCCTGCTCAAAAGCAGGGTCAGCTCTGAGGTCAGAGAAAGTAAACTTCAATTGTGAACTGCTGAGTAAGGGGTGAGGTTGGTTTCTAAATCCAGAACTCTGGAAGTTGGACCGAAAACTTCCATTCAGCCCAAATCAATTATTCACTACTCAGGAAATTACCTCTAGGAGCTCCCCGAGGTCCACTTTGTCCAGAGCCACGTTTGAAATTCTGTTGATATCCATCCTGAGGCAAAGAAATTAAAAAAGTTATGACATAAAACATGGGCACTGTTATTAATTGCAAATAAAATAAGGAGCTTTTAAAGCAGCATACACTGACAAAACATCTGTGACTTCAACATGCAGCATTTTATCAGTCTGCATTAATCTTAGAAGAATTAGTTCTTACTTCTACTAGTGCCTAGCAGCTGTAATAAAATGTGCAATAACAAATGCTCTCTCCAGTTACAGGATGTGTTGCTCAGTATAAATAAGAAATGTAAATAGATGTATTTAGTGTTTAAATTTTTCAAACTACACTGAGGTAGTTCGTGTTTATTACCAATAAAAGAAGTCCTTGGCAGAGTTTTCACTAATAGATTTGAGTGCTTTTGTTTTTTCCCCCCACACTGTGGTCTCTTACCCGCTGGTAATTTGAGTAATCCCGAGGAGCATTGAACTGGGGCTGCGTATAACCACTGTTTGGAGTGTTGGAAAAGGAAGGACGGTATCCATCGTATCCCCCTAAGGAACAGGGCACAAGTCTTTCACTTGAAAATGGGAACTTACCACTCGACTTTCTGCTACTATATAAAGAAAAGCAGTAGCGGGATTTTAACTAAACCTGAGCAAAAAACCCCACCCCTTTAGCAAGGGCTGTTTACCTGCAAGTCAAGCAAATGTTTGCAACATCAGGGTTAATACTATTACAAGAAACAAGAACAAAGATCTAATAAGAACTGGGAGGAAAAAGCAATTCAGTGCATTTCTCTGGTAATCTGAGGTTTGATTCACAGAATATTCAATCCAGAACTAACCATGATACTAGGATTTGTATCTAACAGCTGTGACCGCTGCACTCATACTACAATCAGTTGTATTTTTATTATACAGGTTTCTTCTCTATTCCCCAGCCACAGGAGAGGGAAAGAACATGGCAGATAGTACCTGTGTCCATTAATCTAATCCCAGAACACCTGACAAGGAAACCATCTCTCCCTCCCATTCTAACAATGACAGCCACATATAATCATCTACAGGAATCATGAAAATTCTCTAATTTACTCAACTACAGCGTCATTCCTCCACTCCTGTCGATTCCCTCAGAGTAGTGACTTTGACACTCTTTTGTTCTTACACTTCTACATTACCCAGTCTCTTCTGACTGTGGTCAAACACACAACTCTAAAATACACTACTTCTACCACAAATGGAAATAAAAAACATTTTTGAACCATCAACTAGCATTTAAATTCCTCATTTGAAATTCTGTTGGGTATTTCTGTTATTTGTTTATACTTGCAGTAAATGCCTAATACATGCCAATATCCTCGTAGGATATCCAAACACACATCTAAAATTTAAGTTGCTTAACTAAAGCAAGCGGTTTTATTGCTACAAATTTCAATATCACATAGAGATACTATTACAGTCTAACGACAGCAGGTCAGCTTAACATTTGCTACAGAGGTGCACATTCAGTGAGTGCTTGTGCAGCTGCTCACCTCTGAATCCGTTGGCCGGTCCCCTGTAACCGTTCATGAGCCCCCGGGCCCCGCGAGATCCCCCACGGGACACCCCTCGGCTATTGTAGTAAGGCTGGCTGTTCCTGGGAAACCCAGTGTTCTGCTGGGGAGGTTGCTGGTGGTTGCCTGCCACCTGGTGAGTCTGGTCTGGGGATCCATGGTAAGTACCAACCACTGCAGTGCAATGGGAGGGAAAAAAAAGTAGTATTAAGTCTGTATTTCTTTATGTTCCCACATATACTCCCTTCACACTCAATATTCAGTTAGAGAGGAAAAGGATCTGGCTCTTCTTTACTCAATACCCAGTATTGTTACCACTTCACCCTTGTTAACTCTGTCTGTCTCTGCATCTGCAACTTTCATCTCAGTGGACTCTGGATATAGACTTGATTTTTTCAAGCTGCTACCCCGGAAAGCATTTTGCCTGCTGAATTCAAACCCTGTCTCACTGATTTTACCAGAAGGTTCTGGCCCTTTGAAAACCTTACACCATCTGTGAGAAGCAGCCCACATTTGCTCTCACTTCTGCCTTACTATTCTATCTCCTGTATAAAATGCCACCTCAAATAGCATAGTTTTTTTAAAAGCAAGTTTAAGGATCTTCCAACCTTGTACTCCGCTCTACTGCTTCCACTTTAGAATAATCTAGGAACATTTGAGAACATGTGACATGCTTCGCTCCATCCTCTAGGTCTTCACAGCCTGAGCACCTGCTCTACACTGAGGCTGTTGCCATTCTAGCTTTTGCTAAAAGTTTACCTGTCTGGAGTTGTTCTTGTTGAAGATCTGATTGTTCTACTTGGTGAGGTTGACTGGAGAAACTCTGGTTGTAACTGGCCTGGTACTGATTTTGCTGCTTAAGGGTTTCTGGCTCATTAACAGGAGGAACAGGTGCATTCATGTTGAATACCTGTAATGGCAGAAAAATGGTTCTCTGGTCCAATTAATCTTTACAACTTTTCACATAAAGTATCAAAGTCTAAGAGATGTGAATAACCAGACTATTCTATGCAGCTACATGACTGATTCCAACAAAATGAATGACCACCAAAACAGAAGAATTAATTATTTGATTTAGTTTACATTATTTTATCTTTTTATTTATTATTATTTACTTACTGTTTGCATGGATTGGAATGGAGCTGCATTGACATTGATTCCGCTGCTATGCAAAGGCTTGCTGGATCCAGCCTGGAACACCTGGGGCTGGGATGCAGTAGGAAGTGATGATGAGGATGGGGTCTGGTCTGCATTCAGTGACATTGAAGCCTAAGAATGAAAAGAAAACAACATTTTAGCAGCTTTTGAGATACCAAAAAAAAGTGGCAATGCCTGAGCTTCAGCTCTACAAATGACTATTTTCTACTTCAGCTCAACAGCATCATTTGCAACAGCACAATAAGAGGAAAAACCTTGCAGCCTTCTCCCTTGTTGACTTGAAACACAACTAGAAAAACTTAAGAAAGGAAATGTATTTCCTGGGCTAACTGCTGGGCAACGTAAAAAGCAATTCACATTTCCTAAGCCATCATCAACACCGACACTCAGTACAAACTAATGCTGGCATGCTGAATGTAACTAAACAATCAATCTTGCAAATTAAGCCTTACTATGAAGGACTTACTGGTCACAGACAGGCTCAACATTCTGAAATTGAAGGGAACTGGAGCAGCCCTACTAATAGGCAACTAAAACTACCACTTTTTACAAGGAAACATAGACTAATATTGATATCTGCCAGGAGAGTCCTTCCCACCCCTCTGACACCTGACTTGCCTGAATCTGGTCAATTGATTCTTTCTGTGGCCGTTGCTGTGCTGTGTGAGAAGGTTGATACATGTGTTGGGAGGCTGTATATCCCTCACTTGTAGAAGAAATCAAGGGAACCTGACAAAATAAACCCCCAAAGTCCCCAAAAGTCAGCTGATGCTCACCCACAGTTTTATAGAAAGTATCTGACAACCCCCAGCATGGGTGGTACTCTTTAGTCCAAGTCTGTAGAGCTCTGTTTAACCAGCAGAATTAACCACCTCATCTTGACCAACACTCTAATATGAGCTCATATAGAAGTGGACAAGTGCTGGTTTCCCATGGATTGAATCTGCTCAGTCCTCTGCTCCTTTAAAGAGTCCAGTGAAAACTCCAGCCAGCAAAGCAGAGGACCTTGCATTTAAGGGCATGGGGATTTCAAGAGGAAACTGATAAAACTGATGGGAGTGTTCACATCATGTTGGAATGTTCAGAAGGAAAGACTAAGTTTAGCTACTGCTTGTAAGATCCTCAAGAGCATCACTGGCAGCACTGGCTGAGACAAGGAAAATAAATTTAAAAAAAAATCCCACTGGATTAAGTCACAGATATCACTTAAAAGTAAAATAAAAGCCAGTGCAGAGAAAACTCTCTGCCAAAAGAAATTATTCTACGTCTACAAAACAACAAAAGGGGAGAGCACCAACACTTCAGGAGGTACTTACAGAGGAAACTCATGAAAAAACCCTCACTCCTGTTCCTGTATGAATGAGTGACTTAAACCTTGCAGCTCTATCTGGACAGGACAAAGCAGGCAATTCATACTGCCAGTACTCTGAGATACATAAGCTATCCAGATTTTTTCTTTGGCTTTCAAATACCTGCAGGGATCACACCCATTCCTCAGAGATGCCACATGGCTTAACACAAAATTAGGAAGTTCTTTAATCACTAGACAACTCAGTAAGAAACTGAAACATCTTCACAAGAAGGGGACCATTTATACAGTACAGAATCAAGTTTAAGAGGTCCTACTTAAAGCTTAACTGAAAATACCATTCAACTCAGTATAGAACTCCAGTATAAAACACAGTCCAAAAAGCAACTGGGAATAATCCTTAACAGAATAAGTGAATAAAACAGAACAGTTAATCCTTTAAATCTATTCCTGCTGACACTCACTTGAACAGACACAGGCTGCCCTTTAACTAAGTTATTTTGGTTTTGGCCTTTCTGTTGCAAATAAATAAAGGACTACCTGCTTCTAGCTAAATTACAAGTATTACTACACATGACTTAACATCAAAGGGAACACTACTAGGCAAAGGTAAGACTCCATTACTGAGAATCTGCAATGTCTGCAGAGCACAGAATCTGTACCTAGTAACGCTTCTTAGCAACAACGCTGAAGAAATAATGGAGATAACCAATTTCCCAAAATTAGAACTTTAACTCTGAGTTTCTCATACAGTTAGGAATTAAATCCTTTTGTAACAGTAACCAGGCTGAATATAAAGCTCAAATCCAAAATAAAATGTACTAAACATTTTACCTGTGTAGCTTCTGGTTGCACAGGAACTTGAGTAGGCTGGGCAAGTCTTGACTCAGCATGAACTGAAAGAAAATAACTTCACTTACTATACAATCAAACCTTTTACAGAACAGCATAACTATCATATCTGCTTCAGTTATCTGAAAGCCAATTATCTTAAGATGATGAAGCCTTTAGCATGCCAAAGCTATACTCAAATTACCAACTCCATGCAAAGAACATTTTTTCTAGTTGTCCAAAATAATCCAAAGCAAAATTGTACTTTGCTCATTAAAAAAAAAAAATGTTTCAGATGTTCCACATTTCTAAGCAAAACCTATAAGCAAGTGAGAACTGGAAGACTAAAACTAGTATACCTTTCTGAGAAAAACACACTTGACCAGGATTGTACCATTACTTGTGGTGATCCTTTTACTTTGCAGCAGTAACTGAAGTATTTTTAACAAATGACTTGCAGGCTTCCCCAATATTTATGTTTAGGATTTACCATTACAAACCTGGAGGGCAAACCATTTGTGGCATGTCCAAACTCTGTGCTGGGTTCATAGGCTGTGCAGATACAATGGCAGGATCAAGTGTCTGGTTCTCAAATTCCAGCATTGAGTCCTGAAGGGAAAAAAATAAAAAGCAGTTAAAAAAAAAATAAAATCCAATTTACTGTCTGTTAAAAATACGAGCACTCAACAGAGAAATACCTGCATGAAGTTGTAGGGGCCCTGCATCTGGGCCATGAGGTCCTGTACTCGCTGTCTTCTCACCAGAGGATCTGCCTGAGCCACAGTGGGGAGCGTGTGAGGTTCAGGAACAGGAGGAGATGTCGCTTGTGTCTGTTGCTGCAGCGAATTTACGACCTAACAAGAGACAAGCAACCAACTCAAATTTCAGCTCCAGTCAACACAAAAGTGACTTGGTAGTTCTTGGAATTTATGGCTATTGCCTAACTCATTATGGATGGAATTACTGTAGTGATGTTGAAGAAAAGTACTACATCCTACAGTCATGCCAGTATCAGTGGCAGCTACTGATCTCAGCAGTCACAGGATTATAGTGCTCTGTTTTCTCTCCATCTACTCTTTTCCCCATTAATAAAACGTTCATTCAACACTAGGGGGATTTTTTATAGCAGGATTTGAGACAGCAATTTATCAGCATTTGGAAATTTAAAGAAAGGTGGGGAGGAAAAAAGCTTCAGAAATATGCACAAATGGGGAACAAATTATTTTTAGTAAGTGCAAGTGGAGCCAGAATTTTTGGGTCTTTTTTAAGACTTCAAAATGGTCAATTTTCATAGCCACTTTTATCCTAGCAAACTGATTTACTGTCTCAGGGAACAGCAGGCAGCATTGCATGACAAAGATTGCAAGGCAGCACCATGGGGGGACACCAGAAGCCCAGAAGCAGAAGCACAACTCACAGTGGGCAGGAAAGCTCAGATTTACCAGACAGATTCCAATATGGCAATACATCAAATGTGCAACAAATACCACCTTATCAGAGACAGCAGAGCCACCAGGAAAGTTGGACATGAGCAGTTGAGAACATCCATCATCAAAGAGTTTGAAAACAAACAGCAACAAGGACAGTTGAGCTGCACAAAGGAGCACTTGGATGCCCCTAAACCAGTTTTGCTTTGAGCAGCTCCCAGAATACAGAAGTGCCCTTTTCATGTCAACAAATGTCCTTTAACAACACCATTGTCAATAACTTGCCTATCACTTCTCTATTTCCATGAGCTTCTAATATTAATAATCTTCCAGATAAACAGGAATGCCTTAAACTTACAGTTGCACAGGATATAAATTAGGATACATGCACCTGAAAGTTCAAAATATTTATGTGAAATACTTGATTTCTCATTAGAACTGCAGGAGACAGACTTTTGTACAGCAGTTGGGACACATGACAAACCAGTCCTATTATCAAAGGTCTGAACTTTAAACTTCAAATTGCCACTAAAGCCTGTACATTTTTTTATTTAGATTTCTCAAAGAAACACACAGAATCTTCCAGTATTCCTACTTCTTGCTCACACTTCCAAACCTTTTTTAGATATGACATTCTGCACATGCAATTGCCTCAGCTCCAGTGACTTGATTTCTGACCAAATCCCTAGCCATCTGTAACAGAAAATATCAACAAAACTAAAAACTAATCACAACCTATAGTCCCTTTTCAAGATTCCCTTCAGATCCAAGTCACTGCTATTAGCATCCACAGAGAAGCAATTTGATAAATCCCATGTAAGTACCAAGCACAACTGCTCTGGTCTATCACACAGTCCCCAAGTTTCACAATCTTAACTGTTTCCAAATAAAGAAATAAAAAATTATCTGAAAATGTTATTCAGATCACATATAGAGACCTTTGGCACATTACAGAGTTTGAAAGTCAAAGAAAAAACACAAGCCAGATCACTGGGTGAAACCTGAAACCATCAGCTACTTGTCTCCTGCAAAATTATTACCAAAAATACTCTCGATTATTTAAGCACTATCATTAAACTTATGAAGTCCAAGTCATTCATAACAATCCAGTATCTTCAGGACAAAAATACAAGCTGATGGAATCGTCAACAACACACAACAGGGACAAAATGTTATCATTTTCCTTTTTCACCAACAGTACAGTACGAACTTCAGATGGTGCTTCAGATTCTAGATCATCTTTTTCATCACTCCTCTTTTATTAATGTCAAGAGGAATCATTTAGGGCCTATTCCTTTAGTCTTATCAGCACTACCAGGTACTTTGACCTAGTACAATCATAGTAGGATGAGACTGCTAAATAAATTTCAAGATGAGTGTGTTCAGTTGCCAATGGACAGGACAGTTCTAAATTTAACAGCTTTCTAACAGTGCTGCATGAAAAGGTACAGAGATTACTCAAATAAAAGGATCATTACTCAAAAATCAAATTATTCCTGACCATGCATGTCCATTGATCCTGGGGACAGTGCAGCACAGCACAACTTTATTTCAGGAGAGCTGAACCTGTCAGCAGAATAATATTTGACTCAAACTGTAGGCTCCCCTCTGACACCCTGCCCTTGACACTGGCAGCAGAAAGAGCCGCCAGACACAATCAGGAGACTGACAGGGGGAAAGGGAAAACCAGAAGCTTAATGAGACCACAGACCAACCAGAATGAAATCGTATTCTGGCAGTCTGAGAACAGGTTCCAATTTGACAAAAATCCATCCAACCAACACTCCATAATTTAAGACAGAGAATTTTGCATACAAACAGATTCAGGTTATTCCTTTTTACAAAGAAAGCACTTAAAAAAAAAATCAATTAGAAGCCCACCAAACAACAACACGAAACCCCATAAATACTATTACCAGTAAAGGACATATTCACCAAAATGAGAACATCATATAATCCAAATACACTTGGAAAATTCACAAGTAAATTCTTTAATTCAAAACTTCAGAAGGCCCATACAAAAAATGTCCTGTGAGACACCATCACTTCTCAAACTACAAACATACCACAGAAATCGTGACTGTATCCCATCTACTGAAAAAGAGATGAGTTTATGATATCCCTCCTCCTCAGGAACAACTATGGAGATTTTCTGAGCAAATGTTCTCTTTCAGCTTCCAAAATTCCCAGCTATCACTCTATTAATGCCACAACCATCTTGAGCTGAAGAGCACAAAAGCTCTGTACATTGTGCACCATGAGCTTCCCTAAGGACAAGTCAGTTGAATTCCCATGAGAAACGGGACTGTGATGCCAGTAAGGGCAGTAAAACCAATGTCAAAGAGAGATATTCTCAATTTCCCCATTTATGTTACATCTGAGAAAATAAGGTTCTTAATTACAAAGAAACAGTCTTCAACTCTCCATTTTTTACATGATTCCTTTTTACAATGTCCAAGATACTGGGACAGAAAGGACAACCTCAGTGTATATTCTTTGTATTGTTCTATGAAAACAAAGCTCAGACAGTGCAGACTTAGCAGACTAGTAAAGATGCATGAAAAATGAGGAGCTTCTGAAATCTGAGATACAAATTTACAACCTGAATTGTGTCTTCATCCATAGCATTAAGAACTACAGAGAACTGAGCCACTCTGGACACTTGGTGTAAACACAAATATACTATGGGTGTAATTCAAGTTAGATTGAAGCCAATCAATTAATAATTTTAAAATGCTGGGCCTTTTAAGAATATTTCAATTGAGCATGACTTTTATGTGTGGCTTGAAGGGTTTCTTCAGTTTTTTAAAAAGACTTCTTAAAACACATTCAATAGCAGAGATATTTTTGGTTTAAGCAAGGGAATGGAATACTATGACAATAAACTACCAAACATTCACATCCATGGCAAGGTTGTCTGGTTAGTTCTAGAAACGTCACACCCATCCTTAGTTAAATCTTTCAGTGGTCTTCAACACCCTAAGATACAAATTTCAGCCCAACTCCATGTAAAATCAGGCAGGATCAAAACGGCTGCTCTCTTTTTCACCACAAGATGCTGAACACTTACTCCACTCCTACACTTAAAACAGCCTGAAGACACTAAGGAAGAGTCTAAAAAATTGACAATCTGGACTTTGCTGGTAAAGTGAATGAAAAAATGAAATTTCCAGCACCTGAAAGGTGCTGCTCATACTTGTTTCTAACAGATGGACACAAATCAAATTCCAACATATTAAACATTTGAATGACTCCATGGGACTTGTCCTTTCCAGCACATGAAGAACATAAATTCTAGAGCATAAATCACTAAACTGGGAATGGATCCCAAACCCAGTGTGCCACAAACACCACAAGCGAACAGTCACTCAACTGCAAAGAAGTAACAAGTGAAATACTTGAGGAACTGTAGTTCTTGGAAACAGAGACGACATACAAGCATATTTTAACATAAAATTATGCACATAAGCAACCTGAAGGAGGTTATCAGTTGAGTTACTAATTTCAGCTCCCTCTCCATGGACCTGCTCAACGAAAGCACAACTATGCCATGCTGTCAGCAGCTGGGCAGATAAACTTGAAGTTCTGTATTAGCAGCTAAGTTCTCCTAAAAAAAAAGGCTTCAAAAAACTATTTCAAGTCTTTTTTTTATGCCCAAGACTTTTAAGTCCTGTTTTCCCAAGTAAGCCACTAATGAACAAAAGCAAGTTCTCTGTAAATTAGGTAGACTGCATGAGTTTTATTTCTTTTTATTTTAGTTACTCCTGAGCTAAATATGTAATTAAAGAATGAGTGGTGAGTCCAAGCCTGCTTAAATATATGTATTTTTTTTATATACTGGGGGAGAAGGGATGCAATACTAAAACCTCCCATGAATTGTGAGCCAGCAGAAACAGGGATTGCAATTTTACCTGCAGTACACAAGATCTTACCTCAACCGTTTCAACTGTCCACTCATCTACCTGTTCCTTCTCACTACTGCTGAACTGAGCCTCTGCCATGAATTGTCTGTTTACATACTAAAATAAAAATAAGAAAGGGTATGAAAGTAAAAGTAAGTGGCATTAAAGGTATACAAAACGACAATCTTTCCAGTGAATAATACCTCAGTTGATTCAACTTCAGTTGGTTCAGTAAATTCTTCTGCTGCATCAGGTTCTGTAAGAAAAAGAAATACATTATTTATGTGGGAAAAAACCACCTTGTATGAGAAAATCAAACAAGAAAACCAAGCAAAAGACCCAAAGAGAAGACCCTCCCCCCAAAAAAACCAAACCCAAACAAAAAAAAAGCCAACCCCAACAAACTACAACACAATCCCACAAAAACAAACAAACAGAAAAACCCCACCACCTACATATGTTACAGATCAAGAAGATACAAAATTAGATGAAAAATGCTCTTCTTGTATCTAAGAATGAAGAGAAAATGTCAGGGGCAATAACAGAGAACTAGTAATAAAAAAATCCTCCAAGTTTTGAATTAGCAAGAAAAAAACCCACATTAAATTCCTGCACTGGAGAGTCATGTTCAGCTACCCCAAGCTTCTATTTTCTCCATATTCAAAAAGGAAAGAAGTAATAATTTTTTCTTAAAATTGGATACAATATTCCTAAGTTTAAGTGTGTAAGCTTAAGACTCTGCTTCAAAACTGTTCCCTCGTAACAAAGGATTAAACCGGTGGGAATGACCAAAAAATGGGAAAGCCTCAGGCAGGCAGAACTTTAATTTGCAATGTAATCATTGTGAGGAACCCAGAGACAAGCCAGTACAACACAAACACCTCACTCCCAGGCATCCTGATGTTCTTACCAGCCTCTGCCACAGTGTCTTCTACTGCAGAGGCAGGTGCTGCCTCCTCCTCCTCACACAGCCCGTTCTGGTGGTTGTGGGTGCTGTCAAAGTAACTGGTCTGAAGGATCCGTTCAACCACCTCCTTCAGGGCTTTGTCTAGGAAAGTGCAAGTGAAAGATTAACACTAACCCGATCCTAATCATCTCTGCCTTCCTTCCCTAAGATCACAGAAATTTTACTACCCTTTTGCTGGGGAGATGTTGCTGTCCCAAGCTAATGCATGACCACTATTGTTACAGGACTTCTTACTAGGTTACATTAAATAAATCAATAAATAACCCACTTTCTTAAGGGCAAGAATAACCTTAAGAGCACATAATACTCCTCAGAAGATTTGTGAAACACTTCGAAGTGTTGTTTTTTTTTTTCCTATTTTATTCCTGCTATTAAAAAAATCATCTCTGGTTGCTTAGTTTTCAGTTTGGAAAGTTTTCAAAACTCACTGAACTTTCAACTATTTTGTAATTTCCTCATTAAAAAAACATTACTGTAAAACAATTTCTTACAAAACAAATTTACACGGGTACCACCTTTGTGAAGGTTCTTCCTCTGTGGTGAAATGGCTCAAATCAGCCTTTGAAAACAAAACCACTTTCATTCAATACCTTAGATGAGTGGTTGGGCATCTTAACCCAAAAGAAATCAGCCACACTGGCAAGGCAGCATTACTGGAGATTACTGTGGAGATTTTTATTTCTGCCAAAAAGCAGACTACTGGCATGATCACACCCTGGTCTGCAGAGTTCATCAATGAAAATATGGCAAAACCAGAACGCTTTCTGCAGGAGTCAAGGGAGAGAGAACATCCCACTAATGAAGGCCATTAAAGTTTATGTATTAGATGTTATTGACAAAGCTCCTTGTTCTCACACAGGTTTCCAGAAAACAAAGAATTGCTACTAAGCACCACCAGCAGCAGAATACTGCTGAAACAGCAGGTTAAATACTGAGTAATGCTGTGTCAGTATGAAAAAAATACACTACACAGTGAGCCCACACTTCAGAAGTTATTGTTAGTCCAGCCAAGATCTGAAAAAAAAGCAGTTACTCTAAAAACTCACAAAGATAAGTAGATGTCTAAGTTCTCTTATATTAGAAGTGTATTGTAATTCAAGCACAAATTCAGTGTGCTGTCTCTCTTCATACTGAGGCTACACTTACAGGTTGTTCCACAAACTGGTTTTTCTTTCCCTTCCAGTAAGTCCCACAGGTGAACAGATGCTTGCTCATACTGCTCATTCAACCTTAAAAAATAATTAGTAAGAGTTAATTTCTTACTAAATCTTTCAATTACTACAGTAAATACATGAGGTGACTGACAATTAGAAAGAAAAGCTCTTTGCTGTAACCCTACCTCACGTTCATGTCTCGTTCAGGGTAAACCAGCTTGTAGAACTCATCCAGCATTGTGAGCTCCTCCTCTGTCAGCACTGGGACCCCACTGGAGCCTTGTTTCAGGTCACTGCGAACTTCATCGTCCCCCAGCTTCTCCAGAATGAACTGCAGCTCCAGCACAGTCTTTAAACGCTTCTGCTCAGCCTCCTCCCGCATCAGCTGCTCCCTGCGAGCTGTCTTCTTTATTGTCTTCTGGATCTGAGGGATCCCAAGGGAAAAACAGATTGGAAATGGCTTTTATTGCTAAGAAAAGGTACAGAGATATTCACCATATCCCATGATAGGAGGAGGGATTCATTGGAACTACCAGGAGAGCAGCTTAAAACAGAGAAACAAAAGTATTCTTCGTTTTTTCGTGTACCACAGGAGGGAACTCATGGAATGTTTTGCCATGAAAGGCTGGGGAGATAGATGGGATCAGCCAGTTCAAAAAGGGTTTAAAGGAATTCTTGGACATGAGGTCCCCAGTCAGACACTACAGGGAACAAATCTGCATCTACCCTGGCATTCTCACAGATGCTGGAAGGGAGTGGATGATAATCATCAACCTTGTGCTCTGCACTGAACCTTCTAAACCTGCAGTCACAACACAGGTCTTAAATGCAACACTAGTCTGAACCCACAGGATGTTTCCTCTATTCTTAATCTAAGTATCCCAAATTCAGCCTGTTTCCTTTTTTGTTTAAATCTTCTCTTTCCAAAAATGTAACTTGTGACAGTAACTTTCTCTCTTGAAACATCTAAATTTCTTTTTTAACATCAGAGACATATCTTAAAATCAACTGCATGAGAACTAACTATAATCAGGAAAAACTGCAACCAAGTTTGAAAGCAGAGCACCAATTTGGGTTCACTGACTGCTGTCAGCTGACCAGGGAAATACCTCAGGACAAACTTGTCCAGAAAAGACAAGTTCTCCATTACTAACATTCCATAAACATAGATGGAACCCTGACGCAAGAAAAGCCAAGGAACAGCTTGGCTTAAGAGTCCTACAAATTTACAGCCAGAACAAATGGAGAAAGCTGTTTGTAACACGTGGATGCTGATGCCCTTCAAATTATCACATAGTCTGTTCACAAACTAAATACACTCATTAGACCAGTCTGCTGCACTAACACCCACTGCACAACCAATTCCTCCAGCATTGCTGCTCTTTCCATAACTTTTTAGAACTGAATTCTTGATCACACCTATTCTGCATCCTTGATGAAACACCAACCCAAAAGATTACTCGTTTTACTAGTGTTCAGTTCATTTATTCTTTATGAAAATAAGATTAATCTTGTCTCAGACTATAGTTTCAGACTATTTGCAACTAACAAGACAGGAAGAATCTTGTAAAAAAGGAAATGCAATGCTTTCTAGTGCTGAGACTATACCATGTGGTAAATCAAGAAATGAAAGCCCTCAGTCACCTGGCAGAGTCAGAAGCAGGCCTGTGAAATCCTTTCTTTAAGAAAATTGGCAGCAAGTGACCACCTATAGCATTGCATGACAGGCCTGTTCTGTGATCCCACTGTTTTCAACACTTATTTTTCTGTCAGAAAATTATGTCATTATTCTTGTTTCCATACATTTATGTAGTGCATTAGGAAAATCTTTTAGAAATCGTCTTCAGAAAACCTGACACCAACTAATATACAGAATAAAAGAGTCAAACATACAAGAAACCATGACCAATTAATCTCTATAAACAGAGGTGACTACTGACTGCACTAGTGAAAAGGAGTTTAAAGCCCAAAGGTTTGGAAAACAAACATGGCATGGTTTGATCTTTACTTACATCTTGGCTCAGAGCCATGAAACTCCTCTGCAGTTCTTTAGCAAATTCCAGATTATTTGTCACTTCCTGGTATTTTGACACTGCATCCTTAAAAAAAACCCAGAGAAAACCACAAGTAAATGTAAATCATCACAAATAGAAAAAAAACCACAGACTTTTAACAAATAAATCCCCATATTTTTAGTTTCTAAGTGAGACACAGCATCCCTGAATTGGACTGCAACTATGGTAAGTAAAATTTTGATTTTCCTGGGCTTTCTCAAGTCTGGCAGTCAAGATATTGCCCTCCTAAAACTTAATCATGAGCATCCCTCCTCAACATGACACGTCAGTTCTCTGCCCTGCTCCTCAAACAGCAATCTTTATCTTCACAAGATGCCATTACAAAATAAAAATACACAGATATTTCAGTTTTCAGCTGGTACAGAAGGGCCAAGTGAGGAAGCCCTGGCAGATGAAAAGAGCACATGGACCAAGGGAAGCAGCTCATAATCTTTTAAGTGTCAACAGCTGCAATAGCTGCAAGTACCTTTTTTTTGCTTCACTTTCTCAGTGTTAAAAATCATCAAGAAAACACTGTTGATTACTGAGCATCTGGTAATCTCAAGTATCAATATGCATGTTTGCATCACACAACTGAATTTAAATTCTTATTTGTTCTGTATTTACAACAACTGCAAAACTGCTGTTGAATTGAGCTCTCCAAAAACCTACTTTAAGAACCAGCCCCAACAAGAAGAGAAGCAGCACAGAGCTCATCTAGAGCTCCACATCTGCACTGAGAGCTGGGACAGACACACAGACAGAGCTTATTATTGGTCTGAGCTGCATCTCTAACTAAACTACACAGGGGAAGTGAAATCCATCCCTTCCCTCCCGTGCAAGAACACAGAACAATTTAACAGAAATCTGGATAGTATTTTTTTGTTGTTGTTTTTACCAGCTGATCTTGATTCAGACGTTCTCCCTTGTTCATTCGTTCCTGGTAATCATCAAGTTTGCTCTGAAAAGCAAGAAAAACACTGTTATGAAGAGTCTAAATCCAGTTACTGCCTTTTTCTACTTGTGCCAACAGAATTATGTACTGTAATATTCCAGTAAACAGAGTAATACCTAACACAAGCATGAAACTGTCATGTAAAAAGACCACCACGAAAAACTGTGTTCTGGGTTAAAAAAAAGTAAATACTTCCTAAGGGATAAATATTTTAACCTTTATTTGCTTATCACAGTATGTCTTCATTACTAGAGTGAATTTCTAAGGAAATACAGGTTCCTGCCAAAGGGAACACCACTCTCATACACATTTCCTTCAGTCTAAACATCAGAGAGCTGAAATGAGGTCTGAGTTAAAGCTCATTATCACTGTATCTCTACACCACCAAAAACATGACTGCAAACCTCCACTGTCAACTCTATTAGGATTCAGAACTGTAATTCTCTGTAGTTGCATCAGTTAAAAGAGCTGTTAAGAACTCAAAATAGTTTCTGATCCTCTGTGAAGAATGCCCACCAACACAATTCATATTAATAGCTCTAAAACAGTTTCCTTCAAGAGCATTAAGGATTTTTTTTTCTTCATGGGAAGAAACTGAAAAAGGAATCATTAGGCTAATTTTCAGCAGATCTAATCTGCTTAAATAGAAACTCATGCAGAACACTGACATGACCAAAAAAGCAGGTAAAACTCCTGCATGCCTAACAGAGAGACTCTACAGGCTAAGGAGAAAGGGTCTTCAAAAGGAAGTAAAGTCTATAAGAAGGACATACCTAATTATTAACCTGTTTCCATCATTTCTGTATTATCACGATTGTATTTTGCATGAAATTTGCCTTGATCTAATAAAAAAGTTATTAAAATGAATCCTTAACTATTATCTTCCCAATCTAGCATAACATGAAAAGTGAGAGGAACACCTAATTTTTGATGTGAAAGAATCAAACCCCTGATGCAACCACTGTTTTAGGGTTTATATTTCCCACTGAGTGACTTTTTTTTTGGTTGCTTTTGGCCTTTGTTTCATTTTACTGATAATTTTTTAGTTATTTCAACTTTTATGCTCAATCTCAGATCTTACAGAAAGCTCAAAGTCTGTCAAAGTTTACCAGAAAAGCCCCTCTTATAAGGTATTTGATGCCCAGCATCACTTGCTGAAACACAAGCACCCTTATGAGACTCAGGCCTTTTGATGTCACCTAATGCCCAGTTTATTTCTTTGGAAGTCCTACAGGTCAGATACAAAATTTAACTTCTTCATCTGATAGATGAAAGGCAAAGTCAAAGGAAGAACTTCCTGAGCTTCAAAAATATATTACTGGGAATTTCCTGCTGGGGACAGACACTACATGGTAACAGTTGTTAAAGACAGCAGCCACAGTTCAAAACACATCAAAAAAGTAGCCCTGAAGAGCATTTGCCACATTGCAGATCTCCCACAACAGGAAGTAAGGTTCGTTTACTCCTCTCCACACTGATTTTAGAACAGATGCTGACATGGTTAGGCAATCACAGAACAGTTCTCATCATTTTCTGAGCATGGCTGAACTGTGAAGCCAGAAGGGAGGGGAAAAGAGCTCCAGAGCAAAGCCAGGCTTACCCAGACCTTCCCTGCCTAATGGGGCTTAAATCCTACAAAAACTGGCTTGCACACAAGGAAATGTTAAACTAAGCTCCTACTCGCTCAAGTCCCTGACTCCCCTGCTGCAGATCACAATTCCCTTGGTCACACTGATGCAATTGTTTGGGAGGCTGCACAGTAAACACACTGCAAGCACCAGTTTAAACAAGGTCTACAAAAATGCATTAAACAACCCCAACAAATTCTGTGAGCCAGTCTGCAACACAAACCCATAAACAACAGTAAAACAAATAGGGTAGAATATCATATTCCAGAACACTACTTTGTTCGAGAAAACATATATTGCAAAATAATGCTGCAAAGCACTCACATAATCCATTCCGGTGGCCAAGGGCATGAGGGTGGGAAGAGACAAAAATCTCCTAAATAATTACAATTCCTGTATACTTTTTCCATGCTGCTGCATTTCAGCATAGCTGGTGTTTTCAGATTAAGATATTGCAGTAACATGTTTAACAACGCACAAGGTTTTCTTAAATGGTCAATTATTTAGAAATCTAATGTAAATGCTTTGCTTAGTTTTATTTGAGTAAAAACCAAAGGGATAGAAGAAAAGTTACTTGTCTTCACTTGTTCTTCATTAAAAACATTCAGATGGGAAGGTAAAAGCAGAGGAAGGAAAGCCTTGTCAGCTGCAATGCAGAGGACAAGCAAATGTGCATTTAGCTGGACATTATCACAAAGATTTCGAATGCCAAGTAAGCATTTTCCTATCATCCCAAAGACACTCTGAGATCCAAAGGCTGCATTACACACAAATATTAAGTAAAATGCCTCCTTTTTAATCTCTACCAGCAACCTAAGAGCAGCATTAGTGCTGTAAAATAACTGCAGTAAAATTCCTGCTTAGCAACCTACTGCAGTGCCTGCAAGAGGGGAAGATTTTCCTGATTTTACCCCCTTACAGAACCTCACCCTCACTCATCAGATAGAGATCTCCAAGCATAAAAGCTAAACCAGCAGAAAAAATAATAATCCAGTGGCAAAGTGAGCACATAAATTGTGTATTGAACAGCTCATGAGTCAGCAGCTCCCAGTTGTACAGGAAGCAAGCCACCCTGCTCCAGCTTTTTCCACTGAGAAACCTCAAGTATTCTGGAGTTTCCTGGGAGAAAAGCACTACAAACAGGCTCCCAGGGGCAGGGGGAAGGTGCTGGTGTTCCTTGCTTAACTATGCCCTGGATTTTACTTGAATAGGAATCCAAAATTCAGTTACTTATTGTGGCAACAGACACCTTCCCCTCACACCCAAGTTCTCTTTACCTCCTCTGAATTGCCTCAAAAATGTCATCCTGAAGTGAAAACAAAAAAATGCAGTCCCATAACATTACCTTCCAAACCAACAGTGGTTTTAAAAATGCCTGACCGCTCAGCCGTGCTTGTACAGTCATTTACAGTGCTGTGCTCTAAACTGGATCACTGGAATCATCAGATTAAAAATAACCCTCAAAAAAGGGGGTCAGGAGCAGGAGGGAGGCTCTATATTTAACCAGATAATTTCAGTGATATGGTTATAGCAATGACAGCAGCACAAGTGTGTGTGACAAGGTGCTAGGGGACAAGGTAACCTCTTCAACCAGCTGGAGTGACCCTTTTGTAATGCAAAGTTCACTACAAGCAAAAGAAAAGATGAAGGGGACATTGCAAGCCTGTTTTCTGAGATATCTCAAAACCTGCATGGATGCTTTTGACAGCACCAAGCAATGAAGATAATCCAAAATTTAAATTAGCTGTGTAATACATTTTGCACTGAAGCAAAAGAAAAGCCAAGTTACAAACCAGAAGTTTATTAACCTGTTTTACATCTGTACATTGTAATTTCTCTGCCTCCACCATCACCTTCACTCATTCATCTGTTTAACTTTGCAGCAAAAACTGCCCAGAAACGACCAAGTGAAACCCCAAAACCAAATCAGTCTTCCCATTGCCTCAAAAAAATAGGCAGGGAAAAAACATCAAAAAGGTAAAACACTTAAATCATATCAGTTTAATTAAACATGAAGTCGAGAACCTCTCAAAACCCACCACAGTTCTCACACTCACTGTCTGGATACAATTTCTAATTATATATAGACACACACCCCCCAACAAGTCCTGAGAAGCTGTTTCAGTCCTGAGTTACAACCAGGATGTAAGGATGCAAAAACACCAATACTCCAGAACACAAAACATTTACAGGTCTCCTGGTTAAACTGAATTTATTTTTGAAATAACAGCTGTAGATGCTCTTATGCTTTTTTTCCCCCAAAGTCTGGTAAGTTTGACAGCTGAGGAAAAAATATCTCCACACTGTATTAGTTTGAGACTGCAGTTTCATGAGCAGCTTACCCTGGAGGAAAAAAAAAAGCTTTCTCAGTTACCAGAATTAAATCAGAGGAGTGGAACTCCAAGTTTTGATATTCTTTCCAACCAACCATCACACTGCATTTCCTACAGAAACTAGGAATCTACAGGGAAGTTGACTACACTGCAAGAGACCTGGATTTTGCTCTAAGCATTATTTATGATCAAAATAAATTGCTTTTACAACAGGAAGTGAGTTCTAGAACACAAACAGGGCTCTAGAACACAAATGAGGCTCTCCCAACACATTGTGTGTCTTTTTCTTCTGAAAGAAAAAGCATCAACAAAACATCAAAGCAGCATCTGAAAACCTTTAACCAGAATGTGTTTCACAGCTTGTAGGACTCACCATGTATCCAGCTAACACAAGTTGCTGTGAGACAAGTTAAAAACAAAACAGACCACACTGAAACCTGGAAGCACCAACCACCACATGATTTCACAGATAACCTGCCTGGATTTTCACACATGAAGCTTGATAACCAAAGTTGCTGTCAAGAGAGGTTTCAAAGATGTGGGCTTTCAATATATGATTTCAAACAAATTTTACAAATTTGTTTCAGAGTAATATCTAATTTCCAAAGATAAATTCCAAACCAAGTTTCACAAGGAGAGCTTCTGGAGACACTCATGTGCCTGGAACATCCAAGTGGCCCAAATAGTGGTCAAAAGCACTTCAGAAAGTTGCTACCAATGGGCAATTCAAGTGTGGCACTTCCTGCCACCATTAACTGCACCTACAATGGTGGAAAACTGATCCCAGCTTTTACTGGAGGTTGCTGTTTCCCATGGGAAATCCAACATTTTATTGAACCAAGTCAGATTAAGTCAAATATCCTCTGCTGCTACATGAGAATTCCTGCATAGTAACAGCAGCACTTGTTAACTCCTCATTTTCCACTCCAGTCAGGGTTACACTCAGTAGGAAATTCAGTCAGGCTGATAAAGCAACAGCAGCTCAAGTTACTAGCCCCAACCAACATGGGCCATCTTTCCAACTTTGTTGAGTTTTTAAAGATCATGTGCTTTACCTCATATTTACAGCTGCCCAAGACTAATCTCTTGTGAACACCTGCCCATACCCTAAATCACGTGTTAGCAATAATTGTTTTGCCCATTGGGCAGAACATTTGTTTCATCAACTGTTCTTATACAGCTCATGCTCTGTGACACAAGGTGAAAGCAAAAATAACTGGTTTGGTTTGTTTTTTCATTCATCACTGGAACAAAACCCAAGTTCAACCTACATTCATTTGGCTTGGAATTTGGAAAGTTTTTTCCCTCTAAAACAAAACAAAAAAAAAAGGTGGGAAAAGAAGAAAATAATGGAGGTCTTAATGAAGCATTTTTCTCCTAGGCAGGATTGTAACCTCAGACACCCAACAAACACCGGGAGGAGTTCAGGCAACTTTTAAATTAACTGAGTTTGTCAACATATACCAGAGTTGCAGGTTTGAATCTTCTGTAGAGAAAATATCCCTTTGATTACCCCCTTCCATGCACACACAAATATCCTGTCATCTAAGAAGAGGAAGAACGCAGGAGAGCATTCCTATCATCTCCAAATATAAAGCCGTGAGGGGAACAAAGACATTATCAGGCCATGTTTTCACATCCATTTATGAACAGCAATTCAGTTTACCCTGGTCCCTTCTAATGTAAGCAATACTCATTCTTCAAATGAGGTCACTTTTAGGAAAAGAAAATGAAAGTGTAACTAATAATCTTGTATTTACAGTTTATACAGAAACATTCAAAATAGTATAGAACAAAGCTATAAATATTATTTCACTTTGTGTATTGTATTTTGGTGCTCATGCCATTTTATCCTCAGAGTTTAGAGGGAAACAGGACACTAAATTTAATTCAAAAATTCTATTTTCTTCATAAAGGGTGACCTTTCCTCAACTAAAAGCTACACAGTCATATGATCTAAAACGTACGATGGTCCCTCTTACAGAGCAATCATTTTTCATCCTTCAGAAGGATGGGTCTAACTCAACTATATTTTTGTATTCATTCTCAAACACAAAGCTCTCAAAAATACTCTCTTCTGGCCTTCATTATCAGCTGCTGACAAAGAAAGGATTAAATGTTCACCTAAGCACAAGTTTCAGTGAGATTTACTGGATTTCTCATCTGTGCAGCATCCACTGTAATTTTACTTCCTGAATGGTTAAAAAAATTAATATATACTTGTCCAAAGATTCAAAATAAAGGAAAACAAATGAATTTGTGTACACTTACCAAGAAGTAAAATAAAAATACTGAGGCCCTCGTGTACAACAGGCTTTGTTTTAGGACACAAAGCCCTCAATACTCTTTAATAAAGAACACTGATTTACTACAGAAATCTTGACTGAGGAATCAAAGTAGAGGCTCAAGCCTGAAAATTTGTAGTTCTATTTAATACATCAAGAACTACTGACTTCTGTAGTGCTTATCTGAGTCCTAACTCAGTAAGTTTCCCAACTTCAGCCCGTTAAGACTTAGGAGTCTTTGAACTTTAATTCATCCCTGTGAGATCACATCCAGATTTCCAAGACCCAGCCATTTCCTCCTCTTTAAGACCACACTGCCTAGCACAGAGTACCCCCAAATTGCCTGAAGTAATTTTAAAGGAATATCTTCCAACAGAAGCCATTTCCAGGAAAAAAGGGCACTTTGTCCCCTTTATTCACTTGCTGTGACACTACATTTGCACTATGGAAGTTGACTAAAAGTCCACTCAGAAAGGAAGGGTTAAGCCAAGTGTAAATTAGGTGTAAATTATTTATTTTCAAAGGTAAATAAAAAACTGCTCCCAAGGAAAGCTGACCCTCTCACCAATAACACTGGGCTTATCCTCCCGATTACTTCAAAGGACAGAATGTTCACCTACTAATTTCAGTTTTTAAAATACACATTTTTAGCATCATATAAGACATTTTCAGAGATTTTTTAGCATTTTGGCTGCAACAGTAATTTCAATCCATTTTTTTTAATTGAAACAATCAGAGACATAAAAATCTGCTCCCTTTCTTGAGCTGAGGACCAGTATTGTGTGCGCACATATCCACACGTATTAATAACAAGTTTAAAACACAGATGCTGTCCTGTGTACACACAATAGTATTTAGACAAAGATCTAAAGCTTGTCCTACTCCAAAATTTATCTAAGAGCTCCTGGCTTGCTGCTTTTGGTCGTTTCATTATTAAAATGTAGGAAAATCCCCTGCTGATTTTTTTTAAGTGGGAAGCTACACTACACGGTGTATTTGTAAGTGTATTATTTATACACAGTATATTATTTACGTACAGTGTATTATTTACAGGTAAAGTACAGCTTGTTTCATTTACAACTCACCTGTACACACTGCTTTACTTCTAATATTCCCCCTCTGAAAATACTTTATATGATGCTAAAAATGTGTATTTGAAAAACTAAAATTTGCAGGTGAACGTTCTGACCTGTCCTTGGAAGTAAATCAAGAGGATAAGCACAGGGTTATTGGTTTATCAAATACTAGTCTGGGCTACTACGACCAAAAGTGCTAGTTAAAAGAAAAAAGGAGAGGTATTCTGCCTGTTTACTTCTAAAGATAAAAATAAAAATAGGGCTATGAAACAAATTATTTTTCAGTATGAAATTATTTTTCAGACACGAAATCATTTTCCACCAATCCCTAACTTCAGCTTGGCAATGTGGTGTTTCGAGGCGAGTCTTTGGGCTCTGTGTTAGTTATTTTACTGACGGGCAGCTCTGTAGGTTGGAAAGCCCTCAGAGGTTTAACGTGGAGTGCTGGCCCAGTGTAAAACATACCCGACACGTCCAGGACCCCATTCCTAAAAATAAGGCGTTGCAGGCGGGCCGAGGCCGGCGGAGGGCCGGGCTGAGGGCGATGGCGGGGCGGGGTGGGCTGTGAGGGCTTTGTGAGGGCGGCACAATGAGCCGGGCCGGGCAGGCCGGGCCGCCGCCATGTTACAGCTCCCTTCCATGTGCCCGCCCCGGGGCACCGCTCCCGCCGGGTTCATCCATCCCGAGCGCTCCATCCGCCGCACGGAGCCCGGATAAGGGGAGCGGCGCTGGGAAAGGCCCCGCCGCCGGGAACAAAAGGCGGAAGGAGGGGGAAGGGAGCGGCGCCGCTGAGGGGGATCCGGGCGGCGGCGGCGGCGGCGGGGGGGAGGTGGAGGGAGGGAGGGAGGGGGAAGGCAGCCGCGACTCCTCTGGGCTGTGCCGAGCGGGGCCGGGCCCCGGGGCAGCCGGACCCCCGCGAGGGGAAGGGGACAGGCCAGGGGAACGGCGATCGCCCTTCTGGAACCTTCCAGCGGGCGGCCTCTGGGGGCCACGCCGGGAACAACCCGGGAGGGCTCGGTGGAGGGTCCGGCACAAGGGAACGAAAAGGAACAGGCCGGGGCAGCTCCGGGGCCAGGGGCGGGCAAACGCGGTGGGGGGAGTCAGAGGGGGACACGGGGGAGCACCTTTTTCTTCTCCAGGTTGCGCAGCTTCTTGTCGATCACCCCCAGAATCTGCTTCATGGCCTCGGTCTGCACCGTAGTGATGTTCACACCCGCCGCCGCCGCCTGCGGGGCCGCCGCCGCCACCGCCGGGGCGGCCTCGCTGCCCGGCGCGGCTTTGCCGGCGCCACCGCCGCTGCCGCCGGTGGTGCTGCTCGCCATGGTGCTGTTGGTAGCCGAGGGCATCTCTGTGAAAGGAGAGACAAGAGGAGCGGAGAGAGAGAGAGCGGCGGGCGCGTCACGGGGAGAGGAGGAGGAGGAAGGGGGGAAGGAAGAGCGCGGGAGCGCGCGCGCGCACGCGGCCGCCGGGGGGGGGTCTCGCTCGCGCGCACGAGCCGCACCTGCCCGCCCCCCCAGGGCGCGCGCGGGGCGGCGGCGGCCGCGCGACCGCGACCGCCGCGCGCCCAACGGTCACTTCCCCTCGCAACACTCCCCAACACTCCCTCCGATCCCCGCCCGGAGGGGCCGCAATGCCCTCCCCTCACCCTCACCCTGAGCGCGACCGAGCCCGCGGGGGGGGAGGGCACACGCTGCGCTCGCGCTCTCTCTCTCTCGCTGTGTTAAGGAATGGCCGCCTCCGCCGCAATCCGGCCGCGCTGCTCGTGCTACACCGCGGCAGGGAGGGAGAGAGAGAGAGAGGGAGGGAAGAAGGGAGGGAAAGAGGCAGCAGCGGCGCGCACGCCGGCGCGGGGAGGCGAGGCGGCGCGGGGGCGCGCGGGGGCCTTGCCGCCACGCGGGTGCCCGCGGAGAGCGCCTGGGCGGCTCCCCGAGCGGAGGAGGCGCGCCCGGAGGGGTCCTTCAGGCGCGCGGGGGGCGCCCCCGCGCCACACACAATAGGCGGGTTCTCCTCAGATCGCGTCGCGCCTCCCCCGCCGCCCTTTCCAGCAATAAATGTGGCTCCAAAACATGTTTTCCGCCCTTCCATGCCCTAGGGCATGTCACTAAACCCGTGCGGCTGTAATTGGCCCGTAATAACCGCGGTTCAGTCACTGGGAACGGTTGCCTCATTTGTCTTTTGCTCAGGGATTTGCGTTTCCAAATGACTGTCCTTACAATCCCTACAAAACATGTTTGGTTTTAGTTCTACACGTTTCAATGGCACAAAGCACTTGGTAAACCTTTAGTTCTATGATAACAATTAATTACTTAAGAATTACTTGAATAACAATTAATTGCTCGAATATTAATCTAAAGACATATTGAAATAACATCAGGCTTTCTGTGAATTAAAGGAGATTTTTGGGTGAACACTGCCTGCTTAGTGAGGTACAGCTGGAAAATGCCTTCAGCAGGCTGGAAGCTATAGAGGAAAGGATTTGGAATTTATTCCGTTGTCTTTCTGGAATTAATGGGTGGAAGACTTTGGGAATATGAATCTCTGGAAATTCAGTTCACAGTAGTTGCAAACTGGAGATGGAGTTTTGGTTGTAATACTGATTTAAGACTATATTTGTGCCGTTGTTTTTTAGAGCTGATTTTTCCTCTGATCTTGTTCAACCATGGATCCACACAACTGATGACATTGACATGAAAAAAATCCCAATTTCTTGAACAACTGGGCCAACCTGGTGGTTCTGCATCACCAAAAGAGAGATGTCTCATGGCCCTTCCTCACCAAATCCTTGCCTTTGTTTCCACCCTGATTCTTTCTTCCCAGGATTTACTTCAAATTGATAATCCAGGAGTTACTTCATGTTGATAATCCAGCAATAAACTGATTTCTCCTGCTGGTAGTGGTTAATTTTGAATGGTCAGATTTTTTTCTACATCTGTAAATATTGTTTCTTTTGCTTCTACTTTGGTGTATTCTTGCATTTGCTGTAGCATCTCAATGCTTTGTCATTTTTATTTTAGGTCATTTGCTTTACAAATCACCTTGTTTTCCATAACAGGTTATAACACAAGTAACTAATCACCCATCCCAATTACTTCAGTTGAATAAATAAAGTATAAAACCAAAATCTTCAAATATTAAAAGTCCATTTCTTTCCACTGCTCACAAAGATTTTGTTTATACCATTATATTTACAAGATTTCATTTTTATGCATTAAATTCTCCCAGGTCCAAACACAGAATTTGGAATGACCTTTTTCCCCAAGTCAAATGTAGTTTTTTCATGAACATGTGAAGCACTTGAGGTTTTTGACCGCAAAATGTGAAACTTTAAAATCATATGGATTTGTTTCATCCATTCCTATTCATTTCTCCTTTTTCTCATGTTGCCATTGCAATTCTTCATAAGCTCTGGACTCGGGCAAATTTTTCAGCCAAGCCCTAATAGAGTTTGTACTCAAAACTTGTCTTGCAATAAAAGAAAAGTCAGCGCTGATGGGAGAAGTGGGGACAATAAATTAAGAATATGTGATGGATCAATAAAACCCTGATCTTGTCCACCAATGTAAAATGTTTATCCTTCACAGGAAAGTGAAATGCAAAGTAGCAAATGTTTATGGTCTCAAAAATAAAAGAAGTTAAAATGCTGCTCCTGAGAGCAGTTATTGCAGGAGAGTACACAGTTGATCTCAGCTCCTAAAATATCTCTGAATACTTAATGTGTTCATAATTTTAGGCAGATCATGCTGTGAATTATTAATCTACCTCTTTCATACCATTCCTCTAGAAACAGTGACCACAAATTCATCATCTTGTGCCAACAATATTGATCATCGATGTCTGACAGAGAAAACCCCACAGAAGAATTCCCGACCATCAAATAGGAACTGAGACCTCAACCTCTTTGCTTTAAGGAAGTGTTGCAACCACTTCTGATCTGGGTGTAAACTCTGTGCTGGCAACTTCCAGCGTGGCAAACTTGGAATTAGCATGTGGGTCTCAACATTTACATTTCTGAGAGATGAGTATCCCCCTCACTTACCACGTGGGGTAAATCTGGATTCAGGTCTCTCTGCTCTTGACTCTTTGATGTCAGTACCCAGCTGAAATCACACTTCATAATTATGGCGCAAATCAGATCTTATTTGTAAGGAACTGGCCTTGCATTTCACATCTGAGCTGTGTCAATAAACGTCAGCTCCCGAGTTGTTGATTTTGGAGTCATATATAGTCACTATAGAAAGGCAAGAGAGGAGAGAAAGCCCCTCACAAATGTGAACAGAATTGCTCAAGATGAGGGAGGTCTCCCCCTCCCTGCAGAGAGTGTGGCGATCCAGTTAAGGAGACACTTGGCTTTGCTCTTCATGTTCCAGGGAGCATCTCCCATGCCAGATCTCTCTGGGTTTTTATTCATCATCATTTTACATCACCTGTAATTGGGAAATCTGAATTACACTGTTTCTGTGTCTCACTTTCCAGCCTTCAGAAGGGCAAGGCCAGAGGCAGGTGTGTTTAAAACACATATAACCAGCCAGTTACAGGGAAAAAAACCAATAGAGGGAAAGAAAGTCTTCATCTGTTTGGTGTAATCAGGGCTCAACTGTTGTATAAATACTTGGTGGGAACACAGAGCCTCCCCAGTGAAATACTGTCTCGGGCAGGGTTCCCTGATCTTCCTTTACATCACTTTTGTTACCCCTGGCACGCATTCCCAGCCCTTCCCACTCCAGATTTCCTCCCTTTGCCCACTTGCTCGGGGACTTTCAACCAAGCCAAGCCTTGCCACTCCCTCTGGGGAAAATCCTGCAGGGAAGTACTGCTAGTTCTCTACCCCCTTGTTCTTTCTCCAAGGAAAAAAAGGAAAAATGATGGCTTTTTTCCAGTGTCCTAAAAGCTACTTCCAAGCAAGAGTGAGTTCTCACGTTAGTTCCTTGGGAGCTCCAAGCTGTGTTTTCCTGCAGCGGACGACCTTGTTCTGGTTGTTCCTGTACAGAAAACCCAAGCACACAGATAGAGATGTTCTCCCTCCCCAAACCTGCTATCCCATGCCTGTGTCCTTCCATCTTCCTGTTCCCCACTTATCCAAAACAGCTCATTCAACTTATCCAACTGGTTCTACAGCTCACCAGCTTTCCCACCCTGTTGATATGTTCCCTACTTCCCCAAATCTGACCCATGTATGCAGCGTTCTTTCCTTAATTGTCACATCTACTCCCTCTGCATACTCAGAATTATTCTGAAATTCATATAAACTTTTCTATGTTGGGTTGGATTTTATTTTTTTAAATAGGATCCACAAGACTGAAATGAAATTTCCTTCTTGCACTTTACACAGATCTATTCATCCAGCAGTTCCCTGACTGATCTCATGGAGTCTTATGGGATTTCAGTATTGCCAGTACTCTGTAATGTTCTTGAGGTTGTTAAAGTTGAAAAGCAGATCCCATTCCACTGCTGATGCACAGAAAATAGGAAACACCAACTTCTATTTCCAGTTCCCAGATTTAATACACAAGGTTATTAGGTTTTGAGAGGGGCCAAGTCTGCAAATTTCAAAAGCTGGAGTTCCTCCTGCTTGTCAGGCAGTTTTAGAAAATTATCACTTTGTTTTTTATTTGGGTTTCCTTTTCCCGCAGGAATTTGCTCAAAGGAGAGAAATTCCCATTCTATCGAAGGCCACAGGCTGCCTAACTTTCATAACAAAATCAAACCCAGACGAAATAAACTTCCCTGAATAAGGATTGAAAGGTCAGTGTATGTTTTTCATCTGAATAAAATTAAAATACAAGTTTTTTATTACAAATGTTAAACACTGATGTCTTAGGAGAAAAATCAATTAAAAATTCAGGAGGTATTTGAGTTCAGAGGAGATTAAATGATGTCTAATGGTATGCTCAGTCAAAACTAGCATAATTCCAATCCAATACAGCAAAAAATTGATTAAATGCTACTAAATGATAGATCTCCCTACACAACCATTGATCATCATAAATCATTATAAAAGGTATTTCTGTTTCTATTGATGTCACACAGTTCCTCAACCATTTCAGGGAGCAGTTGTTTACAGAAGTCTTCAGCTGCAGAACCAGGCTGGGACACTCCTTCGCTACACAAACTGTACACAAAAAGCAGATTAAACCTCCATTTATGGACAAGGAGTAGGTTGGTCCCACATACCAAAGAAATCTCAATACTGAAAAGTAGTTCAGAAGTGCCCAGGGCTTTATATTTACCTGAATTAGCTCAACTGGATGGGCCCAGCTCACCACAGCATCCAGTATACCTGTCCTCCCTCTAATTTACTTTTTCACTCATCTTTTTGCATTTGTAAATTATATCAAGTAATCATATCAAAATTATGTCAAGTAATTCTGTCTTTATTTCCTTATTGTTAAGTGTTACAACAAATGCTCCAACTAAAGCATCTTCCTAAACAACAACATTCTGTTCAATTGTGGGGAGTTTTTTTCACTTGTCAGCCACTTTACTGTATCACACCAGTTTAAATCACAAGGCTGTAAATCAAATTTAGGCTTATCACAGTATGAGTATTTTAGATCTCTGCTTCACATTAGAGTGGTTGTCAGCCAAAACTTTTAATTACCTCAAAAAAATGTTCTTTTTTGTTTCAAAGAGATGTGCTGTATAACTGTGGAGAAAAAAGGGCTCTCACTGAAAGGATATTCAACCCAGTGCTGAAAAGTATCATAAAAATCAATAATTGGAGGGCAAAGATACTGTTAGGGAGCAGCCAGGGCCTGCTGCTCCTGGTGGGAAGCCAAAATTTACTGTAGTAACATGGGGCTCATGTCTAATACACACTTTTTACCTTTATTTCTATGGATAGAGTAATTTTATCTT